ATATATATATATATATATATATATATATATATATATATATATATATATATATATATATATATATATATATATATATATATATATATATATATATATATATATATATATATATATATATATATATATATATATATATATATATATATATATATATATATATATATATATATATATATAGATTTTGGTTCAGGTGAGAATGCGATCTTATGAAAGAAATAAGAATGAATCTGGTGCTTTAGATTGTGAGATCTAAGGGTTAGGATTGCATCAAAATTAGGTACACCAAAATGGTCTAAATATGCATCATGTCGAAATGCACCAAAAACCTTTGAAAATGCACTATCTCAAAATCTGAGTGCAAGATGCAATCTGAGCCGCACGATGCATCAGATCCAAAGGCTAGATTTTATTCTTATTTCTTTCACCAAGGTGCATTCTCACTTGATCCAGCCCCTATATATATATATATATACATACACACATATACACACACACACACACACACACACATACATACATACATACACACACACACACCTGTGTGTGTGATAAGAGTGTAGGTTTTTCTTATCCTGTTTTACACGGGGGAAAGGTTTAAGAGTCTATGATATCTATTGTGTTTATTGTTGTATGAAACTTTTAATTTCCTATAGATCTACTTAGAACATAAAAGTAAATAACAAACTTATTAAAGAAATATATGTTCTTTGATTCTTCTTTTATTTTTCTGTTCATTTAGCAACATTTAGAATGGTCACACATACCTTTTTAAGTTTTCCATTAGTATGTTCCTTGGATGCTAATTATTTGCTTTGCACTTGCAGATCGGCGAATATTGGTGTTTTCATATGCTTGAAGTGTTGTGGTGTGCACAGAAGCCTTGGCACTCACATCTCAAAGGTAATTTATAATTAGCTTTACTAATTCCACAAAAGCACCTTTCACTTCATTTTTGCAATAACAAAACAAAGGTGCATGATAAAATGACGTTTTATGGAACCCATTAAAATTTGAACCACTTTTTTCATAAGATCATCTCATTCAGACCTATATTTCCAGGTAGTTCATTTCATTTCACCATGCCTAGATTTAGATCTGTATTTATGGGTAGCTCATTTTATTCTTGGTGGTCCCAAAGTGGTGAGATACAAAGTCTAGAGGGGGGGTGAATACACTTTGTCACAAATTTAAAACTTTTTCATTTCTTTTGAAAACGTGAAAATGAGTGTTAATCTAGAGTTCTTGTGAACTTTAGATTGTGTGCGGAATTTGGTGGGTAGAGTGAGCAGTAATCAATATGGATGGGTTAGTTTTCACAGTTAATATAATTGCAAGTAAGAATAAAGATAAAAGAGAGAGACACGCAAACTTTAACGAGGTTCGAAGGTGGGGTAATCCTTCTACGTCCTCAAAATCCACTATGTAGTTGGTTGTTGAATAATGAACCAACATTTACACTTGTGTGAATTTNTGTTTTAGTTTGGCTAAGCCCAAAAGAGTGGCCCAAAAAGAAAAGAAAGCTATGTACTAAAGGGAAATTATTCCTATTGGGTTCTCAAGGCCCAAAATAAAACTATCATTTTTCATTCCCTATAGTTCTAATTTCTACTTAGGACGAGGTAGTACCAAAACAAATATGAATTTTATTTTTAAAAGAAAAGTGGTACTATTTTTCCAAAGTCCTGTACATTTTAAAAATCCCAAGGACCAGTACTTTTAGAGCTTGTTGGAAATGAATTAAGGACTGAAGCTTAGTTTAAGGCAGATTTTGTAAAGTACCTGAATCGGAGATTTCCAATTTTAGTACCAAAACTAAGATATCCGTCTTCCATTGCTTAGAGCTCATCAATAATTCATTGCCAAAAACAATTGTTAGCCAAAACCTAGTTAAATTCCCCCTGAATTACATTCCCCCCTGAATGTATGCGCTAGGAATAAATCTCAAAATCATACTTGAAATAGGCATAATCAAGCATAGTAAACACAATTAAGAGAAATATTAAAGCAATGTTTAAACCAATCAAGCAATGTTTAAACAAGAAGGTGTTTTCATCAAAGCAAATTAATGTTTTCACATACTTTCCCCCTGGTTTGATGAAAAAAGCCTTCAGTGCTTCTTTCGCTTTGAAGATCCGGGAATCTCCATGATGCCTTGCATGTTTCCACATAGTTCTTTGATGCGCCTTATGTTGTTGCGTCTCTCCTCTGTTTGGTTATCATTTGAGAAGTGAGCAGCAATTGTTCCTACAACCTCTGTTCCATCCAATCCTGAGCTGGATAGGTGATGTGTTGAGTTTTCCGGATTACTTCTCGGAGCGTCAAGGATTAGATCAGTCAAGTTCAGATGCGTAGGAATATAAGAGACTTCTCCTTCTTTGACTGCAATAGGGAGCTCTGGAATCAAGGATGGACTGTGTTGTTGAAGAACCACTTCCATCTTGCGATTTCCAGAATTTGTGGTAAGAAGTCTGAATAGTTTGTGTGCTTCCTTCTGATTGTCAATGATTACCTTCAAGTAGTCTTTGGTTACTACTTGATTTTCTGAAGACACTGCCAGAGCTGATCTGATGTCCATTTGGAGAAGAGACATTTGTTTTTGTAGACTAACTGTGATATTTGCTATTTGCTCTCTGATTTTGTTAACCTCCTTGAGTTGAAGATAACTGTCAGATGCATATGTCTCCATCGTGTTTCTCACAATGTTACTCAATAGAGAAATGATCTCTAGAGTCTTATCCACTGATTTGCTTATCTCCTTGAGATTGGAGCAGTGTGTCTCTTCGGATTTCTTAATCAGCTTGTTATACCTGGCTTCCATCTGCTCTATCTCTTGCCTAAAGGAGGCACGTTGAGATGCTAGGGCTGATTCAATCAACCCTTGGACCTTCTTTGTCCAGGTTTCCGGTACCTCATCCGGAAGACTAGGAATGGAAGAGCTATGGAAATGGAAGTTGGTTACCTGATGAGAAGAGGGTGTTCTTTGGAAAAGTTGCATAGGAAGAGATTCAGTATCTTCTTGCACATCTTCTTCATCATTGATCCTCAGCGTCCTTTCAGATTCTTCTTCTGCTTCCTCAAGTATAAAATTTGATATATCCCTAGAGAGGGAGTCTCTTTCTTCAGCTTCATTATGTTCTTCAAAAATGGCTACTGGAGATTTAGAGGCCTCCAGTTCTGCCATTTGAGTTTCCTTCTCAGCTTCTGCAGAACTTCTCTGGGCTTCTACAGCTTGCTCCTCTTCATTTGTTTCTGGAAAAGTTGACTGCTCCGGAATTTCTGCTGACTTTTCCGGGATCTCCTTTTCAGGCTAGTTGGAGATCTCACAAGCAGTTGTCAGAAAATCTCAAGATCTTGAGACGGGAGATGTTGCTGAAGTTCTTCATTTGATCCTTCCTGGTTCTGTTTTTGTGGAGTAAAGACTGCAGCTTCAGGTAGAACCGTTTCAAAGGCAGATGAGGTTTCCAGAAATATTTGGAAATCCTCAGCTGTTGCTTCCAAGTTAACCTGTGCTTCAGAAGTGAGAACCACCTAGTCTTCTGTTTTTTTAGAGGACTCGTTTGTAGACTGCAGGATCCTCATCATCCACTTCAAATTCTGAAATTGGTGTGGTATCCAAGTGTTCCAGTAGTCATCCAAGATTTCTTCACAGCTATGGTTGACTGGTAATCCTAGGCATTTCTTGATAATCTTCTCATTCTTCAGTTGTTGGTCCCAATCCAACAGTTGCTCTGCTGAATTTCCAACTTTCCAGGCTCTCCAATCATAGTAGAGCTGATAGAATTGGTTATCAGCATCATCTATTTGAGGTTGAGGTGATGAGGTTGGAAGGCTTTGAACTTGAGGAATTTCTTTTTCAAGTTATTGAGGACTCCGGTTGTGGGTAGAGGTTTCCTCAGCTGGTTCCTTCTCCTTCAACTCATCCGGATTGACATATCCAGATGTTGAGGGAGAAGTGATTTTCCTCTTCTTCGTCCTTTGAAGTTCTCTTTGGACAGAGACTTCTTCTGCTTCTTCAAGATTCACTGGAACATGGTTCTTTGGTGCTTCTACACTGAGAGAGGAAGACATCACTTGCTTCCTTTTGGCAGTCTTCGTCAGATTGATGAGTGGGACATTATCTGATGAGCTTTCCTCTGCAGTAGCACTAGCACCAGCTCTGTTTTCTCCTTTTGAAGACAGATAGTATAACCAATATCTCTCTTCATACTTCTTTCCTTTAGAAGCAGCACCCATAGACTCCAAAATATGTCCAATGTATAGACCTTGACAAAGATACTTCTGATTGTGCCTTCCCAGATGTTTTGAGATGGATTTGAAGAAGTGTGCAACCCAATTTACCTTAGATTTGGTAATGAGACCGTTGATGATGAAGGCTCTCTCCTGCGTGATGTCATTAGTTGACCTCCACTTCCACACTCGAGGCAAGCGATGACCAGTTCCAAAACTAATTTGTAGTCGTTGTTCAGATCTGCTTTCTTCACTTGGCCAGAAGGAGCTTGTCCAGAAATTCCAAAGATGTTCCAGTCCAGGTTTTTGACTGGAAATCTCCCAATTTCAACTCCAGAATTGGGAAGGTGAAGCTTTTCTCCCAAATTCTTCTGCGAAAGCTTCACTTTTCTCCCTCCGACAGTGGATTTGATGACTTGAAGCTTCCTCTGTGGGTCCTTCTTTGAATGAACAGTCTTGACCTCTCCATTTTTGTAGAATTCAAGAACTTCTTCTTCAAATTTGAGGCGAATCTCCATTTGAAGAAATTCGGAGAGTTCTTGAGCAGCTATCATCTCCAGATGGCTTTGATAGAATGCCAGTGAGGAGCATTTGGCTTCCAACTTCTGGAAATGAACATTTGCGCCGACAACCTTCATTTTCTCAGAGATTTGAGTGAGATTCTGAAAGAAAAAATCTTAGGGTTCTTGAGTGTTTCTCGCGAAGAAGACGACGAAGAACTTTGAGTGGGCGGTTGAGATCTAAATAGTGGCGATTGGGTTTGATTTAGGTGATTTATACGGCTAGTGGCGATTGGGTTTTTTACTATTCCCAAGGCCACGTGCCCACCCACCATTTTGACAGACGTGGAAAGTGAACTGCCACGTGTACCGCACTTAGTCTAATTGAATTAGACCAATTTTGTGAAGCAAATCGGAAAACTTGGCTTCACTTAGTGGTTTTGTGAAGACATCCGCCCGTTGTCCTTCAGTTGAGATATACTCAATTTTGATATCTTTCTTTTCCACATGATCTCTGATGAAGTGATGCTTGACATCAATGTGCTTAGTGCGAGAATGATGCACTGGATTTTGTGAGATGGCTATAGCACTTTGATTGTCACAAAAGATTGTCACTTCCTTTGTCTTGACTCCATAGTCGAGTAGTTGTTGCTTCAGCCACAGAATTTGAGCACAACAACTACCAGCAACAATGTACTCTGCTTCTGCTGTTGATGTAGAAATGGAGTTTTGTTTCTTACTGAACCAAGAAACAAGATTTCCACCAATGAATTGATAAGTACCAGATGTACTTTTCCGGTCAACTTTGCATCCGGCAAAGTCAGAATCTGAGTATCCCACTAACTCAAATGAATTGCTCTTAGCATACTACAAACCCATGTTCTGAGTTCCTTTGAGGTATCTAAGAATTCTTTTAGCTGCTATCAGATGACTTTCCTTTGGCTTTGACTGGAATCTGGCACAAACACCCACTGCATATGAGATATTCGGACGGCTTGCAGTAAGGTAGAGTAGAGATCCAACAATTCCTCTATAGAGAGTTTGATCTACATCCTTTCCATCTACATCCATATCAAGCTTGGTGGATGTACTCATGGGGACAGAAACGGATGACTTCTGGTCAACTTTGAATTTCTTGATAAGATCCCTTGTGTACTTGGCTTGGTTGATGAGAGTCCCTTCACTTCTCTGTTTGATTTAAAGGCCAAGGAAGTAGTTGAGTTCCCCCATCATGCTCATCTCAAATTTTCCTTGCATGAGGGTTGAGAACTTGGTGCAGAGATCTTCCTTAGTTGAGCCAAATATGATGTCGTCCACATAGATTTGGACTAATAGGAGATCTTCTCCGTCTTGTAGTTTGAACAATGTCTTGTCAATGACTCCTTTGGTAAATCCATTGTCTATAAGAAATTGAGACAATGTATCATACCAAGCTCTCGAAGCTTGTTTGAGTCCATACAGCGCCTTTTTGAGTCTATACACTTGATCTCCCTTAGTGTGTAACTCAAATCCTGAAGGTTGTTCCACATAAACTTCTTCCTCGAGGTTTCCGTTGAGAAATGCGCTTTTGACATCCATTTGATAGACTTTGAAGTCCTTATGAGCAGCAAAGGCTAGAAACAGCCTTATAGCTTCAAGTCTAGCAACTGGAGTGAAGGTTTCATCAAAATCTATACCTTCTTCTTGGCAATATCCTTTGGCAACCAACCGGACTTTGTTTCTGATAACAACGCCGTTTTCATCCATCTTGTTCCGGAAGACCCACTTTGTCCCAATGACATGTTGATGAGTAGGTCTGGGAACAAGTTTCCAGACGTCATTTCTGGAAAATTGGTTGAGTTCTTCTTGCATTGCATTGATCCAATCAGAATAAGCTAGAGCTTCTTCAATATTCTTTGGTTCCACTTGTGAGATTAAACCAGCAAGCATAGCTTCTAGATTCTGCTGAGCACTTCTTGTGCGAACGCCAGATTGAATATCTCCAATGACTTGTTGGGGAGGATGATCCCTTAACCAACGAAGATTGTGTTGATTAGGATTAACTGGTTGATCTAGTTCAGCTTCTGGTTGAAGAACAGAAGTTGTTGGTGTTTCCGGATGGATTGGCACTGGGTCGCCATTTCCGGAATTGTCGCCGTTTGAGATATCCGGAATATTGGAAGGCTGGCCAAAATTTCCGGAGGGCTCAGCACCGTTTGAATCCGGATTTCTCTGTGAAATCTTCAGAGGCAGACTTCTGAATGGAATGAATTCCATGGGTTTCATTCTATCTTCTTCATTGACTTCATTGTAGTTGGGCTTCATTCTATCTCCAATGTAGTTGGGCTTCATTCTATCTCCTTCATTGACTTCTTAATCCTTGTCAGATAAATCCAGAACCTCATGATCATGCTTTGATGGCTTGTCAACCACATGTTTTTCATCAAAAATGACATGTATTGACTCTTCAGTGATCATGGTTCTTTTTTTGAAGACTCTGAATGCCTTGCCCACCGTAGAGTATCCAAGGAAGATGGCCTCATCTGATTTCTCATCAAAAGTGTTCAGATGATTCTTCTCGTTGTTTAACACAACGCACTTGCTCCCAAAAATATGGAAATATGATATATTAGGCTTTCTCCCATTCCATAGTTCATAGGGAGTTTTGTTGTGCCTTTTATAAATCATACTCCTATTTTGAGTATAGCAAGCCGTGTTAACAGCTTCAGCCCAGAACCTCTTTGGTAAGGAAGCTTCTGCTAGCATTGTTCTCACTGCTTCCTTCAGGGTTCTGTTCCTTCTTTCAGCTACACGATTCTGTTGAGGCGTCCTTGCTGCGAATGTCTGATGCAGAATTCCGTTTTCTTCACAATAATGAATGATGATTTCATTCAGGAATTCTGTGCCTTTGTCATATCTGATCTTCTGAATGGTCTGACTTGCTTGGTTTTGAATCAGCTTCATGCAGTTGGTGAGTTTCCCTTGAGTTTCCTTCTTGCTGTTGAGGAAGATTGTCCACGTGTATCTTGAGTAATCATCAACTACCACCGGGACATATTTCTTTCCACTTAGACTAATTGGTGTAACAGGGCCAAATAAGTCCATGTGAATAAGACTTAATATCCTTGTAGTTGAGGGTGCCGGTTTTGCCTTGAAAGTAGATTTGACTTGCTTTCCTTTCTGGCAAGCATCACAAATGCTTTCCTTCCTGAATACAGCTTTGGGAAGGTCTTCTACTAACCCTTCTTTGGATAGCTTGTTGAGAGTTTTGAAGTTGAGATTGTTAGAATAATAGACCAACGCTAGAGGGGGGGTGAATAGCGTTTGATCAAGAAATCGCAGGAATAAAAATGAATAAGCGAGAAGTAAAGAGAAAAGAACGAGGCACACCGATTTTACCCTGGTTCACCACAACTTGTGGCTAGTCCAGCCTCCCGAGAGACTCTCTCGAGCTACACTACTATCTTGTTAAGCTTAACGGTGCTTAACAAACCCGTACAACTTGAGAATTCGAGTCACACGAACCTCAACGAACCTTCGAAGGAAACAACCCTTCCTTCGAACAACAAGAGAAATGCCTTCTCTTGTCAAGTGTCTAAGAACACTAAAAACACTCAAGAACAATACTCTCTTTTAGAGTGGATAATGAGTAAACTAAGAATGCTCAAGAACACAACACAGGCTTCACAAAAA